AACCAGGCCGAACCAGTAGAATACCACCTCTGTATGGAAGGCATTGAATAAGATGAAACCAGGCTAAATCTGGCAAAATAGAGTTGCTGTGTGTATAGAAATTAACGTGTTTGCTGATGGCCTCCATATTCATACTGAGTGGATGATCCTTGAAGGTGATTATCGAAAACCTAGAGGATTCTCCTCAACTGTTAACTACTTTAGGGATAGCAGGTGGATCCTATGACCAGGAGATCATTTGTCAGTTTCAGTTAATGTGCCATTGCAATTCCCCTTGAAGAAAGAGGGATTAGCAAAACTGGCTCATGTTCCAGTTGCCTTTAGATTAAATTATAGTAATATGTATATATAGGGCTGGTTTTCTAGTCTATCCAGACAGTGCAATTGATCCCAAAATAAAGAAGCCCATATGCTGGTAAATGAAATCTCTTCAGCATGATTTCAAAATCATGGATGCTGCATTAGTTACAAATACATTTCCCAGTACAATTCAGTCTGTTGGTAATGATTAAAAAAATCTTTATGACTTTAACCTTGATCAAATAAATGGCATATAGGGACTGATTCTGGCCTGAGTATTATTATTTTTTTTGTCTGATTTGAGCAATAGAAATAGCCAATCAGATATTTGTATGACTCAAATGAGTTATTTGTCTGCATTTTACTGTGTTCTGCAATTTAACTGGGGGAAGGGAGAATCCAATATATTTTAGACCCAATATATTTCTTCTTTCCAACCTTTCTCTGTAGAGCGTTACTCTCGGGTATACACCTCCAGTACAGAAGGACAAACTAAAAACTGGCCCTTCTGCACTATTGCCCCTGTACCAGTCCCTGGTGCTACAATTAGCTAAGATCGATCATCTGCAATCATCAAATGCCACATTGGAGGTCCTGATCTCAGAGCGCAGCCCTGCTAATTCATGCAGTAGCCTAATTTCTAAGATCGCTGACCAAAGACAAGGGGATCCGTGAGAAGACAGACCTAATCCCTAAGATCGCTAGCTGATGATCTGAAGTGACGAGTAAAGATTAACCTTCTGCCAAAAGACTTTCATAGTTACCTTCAGCCTAATATATGCCCAAAGACAAGAAGATCCGTGTGAAGACAGATCTGGTTCCCTAAAATCACTAACTGAAGATCTGAAGAAATGAGTAAAAAGTAACCTTCTGCCAAAAGACTTTAATCAATACTTCCAACCTAATATATGCCCTCTTCCTATACCCCCCAGGACCATCGAAACTAAATCTTCTCCTCTTTCTCCCATTATTCTCTTCCTGACCTAATTTTTCCCAGTATAACTCTGTTTAATTGATTAACTGATCTTACTAAATGATTGATTCATTTTTACAATTATTTATCAATAGTGAGTAATATATTATTATAGATTATCATAGACTAGTGGTTATTGATTAGTTTGGTTAACTATTTTGAATATTAGTATGATTAGTATGTTTAGTGCAAATTAATGATTAGGACAATTAATTGACTAATGTTAATTAATTACACTATTGATTAGTGTAATTAATTATTAGGGTGATTATTGATTAGTTAAATTAATTGACTAGTGTGATTAGTATAATAGACTGTTTGGCACAATATTACTTTATTGATTACCACCTTGTTTGATTGAACAATCTAATCAACAAACCATCTCAACAAACCCACCATACCAAGAAAACAATCCAATGTCAAAAACCTCAACCTAAAAAGAAAGAATCCCCTACTAAAAAAACCACAAGACTCTTGCTCTTGCCTTATTTGTAAGGAATCTTTAAAGGAGAATGAAGATTACATCAAATGTTCTCTTTGTAACAACTACGCTCACCATAATTGCTTAGGATTACCCAAGCAATTGGCTCTATTCCAAAAAACATCTACCAATGCTTTTCCAAATTTCTGTCCACCATGCAGACCCAAACTAGAAAAATACATTACCCTGTTTGAAAGAGTCGATACCATTGAAACACGTATAACATCCCTTGACACCATTGTAGCATCCCTGGACACTATACAAACTAGATTGGCAAACCTTGAAAAAAAAGGCAGCACTAAAAAACGAACATCTACAGACCATATCTCTACTCAACAACTGCAACCAAAACCCAATCCACAAAAAACAACAAATCCTACAAATATTGATATCCCCATCCTCATCAAAGAAGCTGTTGAGTGTGAACGGAAGCGACCAAATGCCATCTTATTTGGTCTAGAGGTCAATGACAATGATGAAATCTCTAATGTTCGAAACATCATCAGAGAAAATCAAGCATCAACCATCTCCCCTGAAGAAATACTTGATATTTCCCATGTTGGTCCTGAGCTTAAAAACAAAGACAGCTTGATGATACTACGCCTCTGCAGGATTGTTTGCAAAAACAAAACAAGCAAATGCAAATTCATTTTCTCAATAAATTCACTTGCAAAGAACAACAACAACCATAAGAACCTTCGTTCTCACCCTGATCTAACCTTACAGCAACATGTACAATCCCAGAAGCTATGTTCTGAGCTCAAAAGATTACATGAATTAGATAATACAAATCTATACATTGATTACTGTGCTGACTGTATCAAAAACAAGAGCCTCAACCCACGTCACAATATCCATCACCCAAACATCCAATGTTAGGGATGCACACCCCTTACTTCCTCCAGACCCACTACTTCATATCTTAAATGCATCTTTCCCAGACTCCATTACTACTACAAGAGAATATCAAGTTTTTCGGTCAGATCACGAAATCCGTAGAGGTGATGGAGTTGCTATATTCTATAAAAAGTCTCTAAATCTAAAAAAGATCCAAATTATACAGAGCTTGTTCTTCCTGAGACTATCATCTGTGAACTGTCCTTAGACATCTCAATCCGCTTCTTATTTTGCTATCGTGCCCCTGACTATGATATAATTCATGCAAACAAGCTAATTTCACTACTGACATGGGCTGCCTCCTGCCCACACCCTCTCATTTTTCTTGGTGACCTCAACTTACCTCTTATAAATTGGACACTAAATGAATGTACATCTGAACCCATTCATACAACCCTGTACAATGCCGTTACCACACTAGGACTGGAACAACTAGTAATGAACAATACTAGACTTAACAACTGCCTCGATCTCATCTTCTGCAACAGTTCAAATTCAATTTATGGAATACAAATTAATGAACCCTTTTCCAACAGTGACCACAACATGATTGACTTTTGTCTCAACATATGTCCTCACAAAAAATCACCAAAAGAATTGTTAACCTAATCCTGAGTCGCTTTTTCTCCGGTAATATCACTCTACTAACTAGAGCATATAAAACATTTGCTAGACCAATACTTGAATACAGCTCATCAGTCTGGAACCCACATTATATATCTGATATTAATACAATTGAGAAAGTCCAGAAATATTTTACGAGAAGAATCCTCCACTCCTCCTCTCGTAGCAGAATACCTTATACCACCAGACTTGAAATTTTAGACCTAGACAACCTAGAACTACGCCGCCTTCTGTTCGATTTAAGTATGGTATATCAAATTATGTATTGCAATGTCCTACCTATCAATGAATACTTCAGCTTCAACCAAAACAGTACAAGAGCACTAAATAGATACAAACTAAAGATAAACCACACCAAACTTGATTGCAGGAAATATGACTTCAGCAACAAAGTAGTCTGGAATACTGTACCTGACTCTGTGGTTTCTTCCCCAAACCCCAAAATCTTCAACATTAGACTGTCTACTATTGACCTCACCCCTTTCCTAAGAGGTCTATAGGGGACGTGCATAAGCACACCAAAACGTGCCTACCATCCCTGTCCTATTGTTTCTTTTCTTTCTTATTCGTATTCATTTCAGGTATTTATGACCATGTTTATACTTATACCTGTTATCTAATAATTGTTTGACATAAATAAACAAACAAACAAACAAATAAATAAATAAATAAATAAATAAAGTAAACGACTGATAGATGATTTGAGATTAAGAGACAGTGAATTGGAAAGAAGCATTAAAATTTGTCACACTTCACAGCTTATGAAATGCATCTTAACTTGGGGATTTGTAAAATCCCACAAGATGACATAAAGAGAAAGAAGGATTTATGAATATATTTCCTATCAGGAGTCTTTATAAGTGAATAAATGAAGCCATCCATTTTTTGCCAAACTTTGGAAACTTTTAAAATCATTGGTAAAATCATTTGGCAAAAAATGGATGGCTTCATTGGTCCAAATTTCATCAATTGAAAGAGAATGAAATGCACAATCTCTTAAAATGCACAGGCAAGGAATAGCCAGGAAAGCTTTTAACATTTCTTTTCTTAAATATATTCTTTTAAAAAGGGCAAACTTTACTCTTTTCCAAACAACTTTTTACTGTTAGAAAGTAGAGAAGGCATAAGTTGTTTTATTTATTTTTTAATAATATGTTTCATCAATAGTAGATCTGGTTTCCCTTTTGACACTGAAATATGAGCTCAGAATAAAGAACATAATAATAAATTGAGTTAGAATGACAATAGTTATTATTTTTAGTGTTTTGTAGTTCACATCTGATTGCTGAAGAGATTTCTGGTTGATTATAAAAAGTAATATACAAAATAACTATTGAAGCAATTGACAATATACAGTAGATATAAAGTATTAATACTGCACAAGAAGTTAATAAGAAAATGAAATTAAAAATGAATAATGGCTCTTATCAAATTAAGCATAGTATAATCTGAGGGATAGAGAGACTAATCTTATGTTAGGCTGAAAAAAAAACTGATTTTCCTGATTATTTTTTCTTTTTGCAATGTAGCTTTGGCCATTGGTGACTCTTCTGCAAAAAATACATTGTTAGAATGCATAAAGATAAAGAACCTATCTTGAAGAAAATAAAGGATGCTAATAAATGAAATAAATAAATCAACACATTGAAGGTCATATAATAGAGGGGGGGAAATGAGTGTGAAATGGACATTCCTTACATTCTTCTCTACTTCTGTTGATTCTAGGATTCTACTTTAGCTGGATCTGCAACCATGACTGGACCCAGAACCAGTGCAATTGTGGGAGATCAAGGAACACCATCAAAAGTCCAACTACCACTCAATATGTAAGCAGGAGTTTTGCTCTGAAGACCAATGTATAATTTTGGAGTTATTATCTGTAGTTTGAAAAGGTCAGCAGAACCCCTCCTCACGGTTATCACTGGTTTGGATGAACCAGCCTTTTGTCAAAATTGAAAAGTGATGAGTGAAAGGCCAAGTCACTTGTATCCACAGGTTCACACAAATTTTAATTTCCAAATTATTTATTATAGTTCTGTGAATGATTACTTGACAGGTATTGTTCCTATCAAATAGAGAAAATCATAAATAAGTAGTTCTCAACCTTTTCTTTACCACAGACCCACTTTAAATATGTTTTGTGGCCACAGACCACCAAGACTTAAGACTTAAGATTTAAATCATTTCATCCCAGCCAGTCCAGATGGGTCCGCGGACCACAAGTTGAGAACCACTGTCATAAATAGTATTAAACTATTTATGAAACAATATGCTTATACAATTTAGTACCTGAAATTATATTCCATTAGGTAGAGTGATTCATAAAATAAAATTCTCACAGGTATGTATTTAGTGCAGTAAAAGATGTTATAACATTAGCATGGTACATGTAAAATTTTTAGTTTCAGTGAAATACTAAAAATAGAATAATTAAATATTTATTGAAACTAAATGCACAATCAAGGGGGAAAAAACACCAAGCAGAAGCTCAGTTTTCTTTTCATTGGATCCAACACTTTTCCTATCAGCTGGAATATTCTCTAAAAAAAACATTCTGATTAGTTTTGGAGACGATGGGTGTCCTTCACCCTGCATTTGTTTCTTTGTTTATGTTAACTTTATAGTAACCTTATCCATTATATCACCTCAGCATTTGAACTTCCATCCAAAACATCTAAGATGTCTTCACTGCATTTAAAGAGAGAAATAGGATGTATAATTTTTTTTGTGCCACAATGTCCAATATGACTGAAAATGTTTAGTGGCATATAGTGGTGAGGATAACTACACAAGGAACACAGGAAAACTAAAACTAATATTAGAACAAGCAGCAGGTATAAAGTGCATTATAGGTAGTCCTTGTTTATTTAACAACTACATTAGGTTTTCATGTAATTAATGACCAACAACTAGGTCATTAAGTAAAGCAGTGACAAAATGAGATTATGACTAGGTCATTAAACAAAACAGTCACAAAATCATATTTTGACAGCTTGTGATCTTATTTCAACTTTCTTTGCTTTGCAAACATACAATGGATTGGTCACTGTGGGTTACTTTTTCATCATTGTAAGCACGAATTCTCACTAAACGAGACAGTCACTAAACAAGCACTACCTATATACATAACACCTACCATGGATACTTAATTATATATGTTTAATTAACTCTATCTTTTTCTATAAATTGTCTAAAATATTCCACTTCACAAATTGTGGAATCTTTTAATATGCGTAAGGAAAAGGAAAATGAGCACTTTTGTGCTCTTAAGCGCTAGAAAACCAGACTTCGCTTCAAAGGTGTACCACAAACTCATAACAAGCCTACAAAGATGACATCAGTCATAGTACCATGGTATCATAGTACCAAGAATTTGAAGGTTTTAAAATCACAGTTGAACCCCTCTAGCCTAAAATTAAAGCTGGAATGCAATTCTACCTGGCAACTATTAGTGCTGGATAATGTAGACTGAAACTTAACTCATAATATCCAGACACCCAGCATCACAAAAAGCCCCAAGTTCAATATTGTTCTCTGATGCCAGTCAAAGATAGCTGAGGATTTCACATTTCGTTCCAAGTGGCTAGTACTGATTATACTAAAACCAGAGAACACGCTTGTGCTAATTAACGTAGTTCACTGCACATACACTGCCAAAACATAATGTGACAATAATTCCTCAAGCCTCTTGTGAAAAATATACATTAATTATTTGATCAGGATGCTGCCTACTGGAAGCATTTGATAAATCAAGGCAAAGAGTGCCTCAAGGAATTGTTAAAACATATGAGCAGTCTAATAATTATTGCTGTTTATTTTCTGCTTGTGGTGAGAATGTTTACTGCACACAGGGACAAAATTTAAAAAAGAAAACAACATTTATTTTTCAACTTATATTTTCTAGGAAGCAGAAAAATTAAGGCCTCATGTGTATTGCCTGTATTCAAACTGAATTATATGGTTTAGGTTTTTGTTTTATGTTTTTTGAGCTGCTATGTGGACGATATTCCAGTTTTACACCTTCCATAATTACAAAAAAAAAGACACATGTAATTTAGCAAAGCCAGTATAGTTTTATATATAATATAAGGGATATGCACACAATAGAATATGCAGTATATTTGTTTTGAACTTGAAGGAAACTTTCATGTCCCAGAGTTTCTGCCAAACCATTTTGAATTGGCAGAATTTTGATTGTTCTGGGATTTTGTTGAAAGATTGGTTGATCTGAGTTTAGGCTGAAATAAAAATATGAAAGAATCTTGGCAAGTGATTTTATGGGACAAAGAAGGCAAAGCTGTTACATGTCATCCCTGCTCTTCTCCAAGGCCAGAGATATCCAAGCACTGTGCAACCCGTCAGTCTATCTGTGGCCAGACTTTTAAGTCCTTTTCCTTTAGTGTTTTCCCTCAGCTACAAGTCCCAATCTCCCAGAAAACCCTATCCCATCAAACCACCCATCAGACTATCCCTCTGATATGTATAACAATAGGGACATTTAAAAACTATAGTTTTTTTTTAATAACTTCTGGTAATTTTAGAAATGCTCCTTTCATTTGTCCTTTAATTCAACTGCCTATTTTTAAAGTGCAAAATATCTTACATAGGATTAATTGACTGTTACGTCATTTCTTCACCATGATTTGCTTTTCATTTTGATAATCGGTATCCAGCTAAATTTAGTTACGGCTCAGGCAGCCTATTTTTGAAATTTGTAGACAAATTTCCAATTATTATTCTACTGCTGTCAATGTGTTAATTATCTTGTAGCTGTCTGGATGGAGTTTTCCGTTCTATTTTCCCACATTCTTTTGCTAGTTAATAATTTCTAGTTGCTCCCTACTGAATAAACAAATTTAGAAATAACAGGAATTTTATTTTAAACAAAATATGGCTTACTTGCTATTCACGTCTTCAGCTTTATCCTCTCACTATTTATATATTTATCATTTTTGACAGTTATTTGGCATTATATGCCTACAAACCTCAGAAGACAGATGAACTAGAACTACGTAAGGGCGAAATGTATCGTGTTATCGAGAAGTGTCAGGATGGCTGGTTCAAAGGGACGTCCTTGAGAAATGGCATGTGTGGCGTCTTTCCAGGCAATTATGTCACTCCTGTTTCCAGGTGAGAAGCAGTGTGGGAGGTTTAACAATCTGATATCACCACCTCCCAAAGGAAGGAAATAATGTGTCTTGCCAGAGTTGCACCTCCACTGTTTTTATTTTAATATATTATTTTCAATTCCATAATATTTTTATCCTCACAAATGGGTTATAAGACCAGTTTGTGATGCTGAAGGCCTGATCTCACACTTGTACCTCCACAGTGAAGTACATATTCGTCCTGTCTTTGATCTCAGACTGTGGTCTAGATACAGAGGTTGCTCGTAGCTAGGCAGGGAAAGACTATATATCTAAGCTGCTGCATGTGCTAGAAATAACACAAAAATAAGTAGAAAATCTGTTTGATTCGGTGACCAGCTGAAATGCCCATTTTTTCTGCTTCCTACTTTTGGCATAGTTTATGCTTTCTTTAAAAGAGATCAAATAAAAAATTTTATGCAAGTACTAATGCAGCCTATATTTCTTTTCAACACCAGAAGTGAGAATTTCAGTCCAGCTTTTCTCTCTATAAAAGAGCTAAAGTTGCATATTTTGTATTATATACATATTGCTTCTGTGGCTACTTTCTCATGAGACATAATGTGCTGTTCTACAGGTAGTCCTCAACTTATAACTGGTTGTTTAATAACATTTGTGACAGCTGTGGGTGTTTTACAGCCTGTAAACTATTCCCCAACCATTGCAAATCATCTCCCTGTCTCACTTGGCAACTAGTTTTGATGCTTCACAATGTTTTGGCCAGTTTCTGGCAAAATAAAGAGAACCCTATCTAAATGAATGAATTTGCACTTACAACCACCACTTTTGCTTAATGACCATTGTAAAAAAAGGCATAAAATCACTTGTAATCATGGTATGAGTGTCTCAACTTATGACCATAATAGCTTAGGACTGGATTTCCAATTCTAATTCTCATAAGTCAAAGGATACCTGTATCTAACAGCTTCTTAAAAAGCTTGCCCTTTATTTTATTTGATAAGCACACCAAGAGAAATCTCAAGAGATGCTGTGCCAAATACAGGTGGTAGTCTTTAACTTATGACCACAATTGAGCCCAAAATTTATGTTGCTGAGATATTTGTTAAGTGAGTTTCACCCAATTTTACATCTTTTCTTGCCACATTTGTTAAGCGAATCACTGCAGTTGTTAAGTTAGTCGCACACTTGTTAAAGTGAATCTGGCTTCCCTATGGGCTCTGCTTGTCAGAAGGTTGCAAAAGGGGACCCCATGACCCCAAGATACTGCAACCGTCATAAATGCGAGTCCGCTGACAAGCATCCGAATGTAAATCACATGACCATGAGGATGCTGCAATGGGCATAAGTGTGAAAAATGGTCGTAAGTCCTTTTTTTCCCAATGCCGTTCTAACTTTGAACGGTCATTAAGCAAACTGTTGTAGGTTGAGGACTACCTGTAATGGCACAGGAGAAATCTAATCAGATGAGGAATCATTGGTTTCAATAATGCTGCCTTTGACGTCTTTCACAGAGCTCTTACGTTGGGCTTCCTTTTTCTCCAGGGTTCCTGCAGCAACTAACCAGCCCAGGAATTTGACAGGAGGCTCTCCAACAGCCAAAGGCTCCCCTCGAGATGCTGCCCCAGGAGCTCCAACATCTCTCACCAGTTCTGCTCCTGTTACCAGACCAGCCGTTCCAATCACCACCCCTCCCTCTCAGACCCAGCTGCCAGCAGGCTCCCCACAGATGAATAACTGTTTGAGATACTCTTCTCAGCACCCAGTGACTCAGCCTCGCAGCTCTGTGCAAATGGGTAGGTATAATTGGCAGGCATGAGTGTCCTCTGAATCTCTTGTCAGAGAAGAGGAGTCTCCGGAACCTTCTGTCTGTCTTGGGGCTCCTCCACAAATTCCTGGCCCTGTTCAGAACTAAATCAGTAACAGGAATTAGAGATTTTTGTTTGGCTTTTGGTCTGCATTGTTTAATGTGGTATTTATTGCTTGCAAGAACCGCATTTTGGTTTTCTTGCTATCCTGTACAGGTCCTCAACTTACAACAGTTCACTTAGTGACCATTCAATATCACAACGGCACTGAAAAAAGTGACTTGTGACCATTTTTCATACTTATAACCAGCGGTGGAAATAAAAATATTTTACTACTAGTTCTGTAGGTACATGCTTTGCATGCATATACGGGCATGCAGAGTGTCCTAAAATGGACAATTTTAAGCATGACAACTTACCGTCAGCGCTGGTGAGTAAAACAGCTGAGGCGTGGCAATCTGCTCTGCCGCGCCTATCAGCTGAGCTACAAACAAAGGAAATATAGGACAGGAATGGGCGGGGTGGGTGGGCGGGGCGAACTGCTGACTGGCACTACCGGATCACTAGAAGTGGCGCAAACCGGCAGCATACCACCACTGCTTATGACCGTCACAGTATTTCCGGGGTCACGTGATCCTTTTTTGCGACCTTCTGACCAGCGTAGTCAATGGGGGCACCAGATTCACTTAACAACACTGTAACTAATTTAACTAATGCAGTGATTCACTTAATAACTGTGGCAAGAAAGCTTGTTAAACGGGGCAAAATTCACTTAACAAATGTCTTGCTTAGCAACAGAAATCTTGGGCTTAATTGTGGTCGTAAGTAGAGGACTTACCTCTACTCACAGTGGAAGTCCCACTATAGTACTTACAGATGTTACACTAATTCTTTTGGGAAGCAAGAAGCATCCTGTATGTTAAGAAGTAAACTTGATAAGTCTACTTAACAAGTCATGTATTGCTTTAATGTTTTAAAACAGTTTATAAGGTTTAAAATATGTTTATTGTGCAATGCAAAACAAGGGATGCATCCAGGCCAGGCTTGAAATACAATTTCCTTTTTTTAAAAAAATAGAGTGTATACATTCTGTAATGGGCTTTTTCCTCACATGGCATTCTTTGTTCAAAGAAATTTCTGCATGCATATATAATAAGCTTTTTACAATGCTGTTCTTTCGAGCTTTTTTATTATAATTATATATTCCAGCAGCTTTTCAGAATCATTTCAGAAATACTTGCTGATGATCACCAGATTGCTTTCCTAACGTAAAATACTGATTTGTCCTAAACTCATAAAGAAAAAGCACCCTCTGATCAGAAGTGAAAAAAGAGAATGGACTTGGGTTTTTAGGGGACTGTTTCAAATCACAGAATAAGTGGCTTGTTATCCCACATTTTCAAGAAGATTAACTCATTACAAAGGTCTTATTCTGAATGGCTATATACTGCATGATAGGTGCTGCTAGAGATTAAAGAAAGAGAACAACAGCTATTTATTGTATTATATTTATTGTATTGTACATATAGTGTAAATGTTACAGCAACCCCTGATTCTGATTAGCATTTAGCCTGCTATCTTTTTCTGAAACTGCAACTTCCAGACACTTACTAAGAGGAACCTCAGGTAGAACATGTTACAGTACTCTAGGTATCCAAGGTAATAATCCCTGCCAAATTTATCTGGCTCAAGGATAAGCATGTACATTCCTCATCAAAGATATTATTGATGGTAGCCGAGATTCATGGAATGTTCTCAGGCTGCAAATCTGTTCTTTTAGGGACAATGCAACTCTTTCCTAAACAGTCCATTATTTAATACCTGAGATCGCTTTCCTTTTTCCCAATAGCACCTTGACTTGTTTTTATCCATCTTTCATTATCAAACTTACATAATATGTACTGACTGCTACCTAGGAATTGAATGCACATTGATGACAACCCATTCCAAAGTTCCAGATAGCCTCTCTCAGTACCTTGGTGTAAATATTGAACTGTTAGCCCTACCAGGTAAATCAGACCAAAAATCAACTTCATGAGAAGGTTAAGATTACTTTTATTGCAGGAGTCTATAATAACAGAATCCTGCAAGTGTGATTATTCTGAACCTCTTTTCCTTCTTATACCCATGTGGATTAAGGAGATGTTTGAGCCTTTGCTACATATTTTGTTTGTCTCAATGTACTGTTTTTCCCTCGTTCCTGGAGATGGTTCTCACCTGTCCCCATCAAAGTCATCTTCCTTATTCAGTACATGAATAGCATGGGAGATAAAATGAAATGGCCCTATGGAAGAGGGTAAGTACAATCTAGGTGTCAAATCACAGCTTTCCAGTATCACCTTCTGGACCCAGCCTGACAGGAAGATTCAGAACCACTGTAAAATGATACCTACAAAATTCATCTTCCGCAGGGAGTCCAGGAGGATTTATCTCCCCATATATCTTATCCACATCCTTATAGCCTAGACAGCTAAAAACAATTCAAAATAGTAGAACAAATAATTACTGACGTAACACCTGTATAATCTTCTCCAACTCAGAATTCCAAATGAATCTGATTGACCTTCCCCACAAATAATTCAAGTTGTTCACAGTATTTTGGGTTCCTTCATCTGTCAGAATAGATAGTTACAGTAGGAGAGTAAATAAGACAGCTTCCTTGAATTCATATTCAAGTAAGAAATGTTGTATTTTCAGTTAAAATATTCCATATTACTTTTGCTTTAAAGGTATTACACGAAAATGTAGTTCAATATGATCCTGAGTATATTTGCTTGGGCTACATTTATTTCTGAATTGCATGCAGTTTTACATATGGCCAATCAAGATATAAGATGAAAATTGTAAGCTTTTGCAGAGTTTCTACTGTTTCTGTATTGTAGATGAGCTATAATCAAAGATTTTCCATCTGAATTTAGTAGTTTGAACTGTTCAAAATCACCTACTATTTACCCATTTCTATTTTGACAGTGTTTCTGAAATTATTTTTCCCCCTTCTTGTTTCCTTACACCCTTTTTATTTTTAGTTGTGCACAATTCTGTGCAGGCCCAAGATCGGCCCACAGCCACGGTCTCACCACTGAGAAGTCAGAATTCTCCGTCTCGCCTCCCAGCAACTGTGATCCGATCACACTCGGTGGTTTCTCCACAACATATCCACCACTCTCCTGTGCATGTCATCCCTGGAGCACAGTGTGCCAGACCTATTATTCCTCTCACTTCAGCAGCAGCAGCAATTACTCCTCCCAATGTCACTGCAGTCAATCTGAACGGAGAAGCTGGAAATGGGCCCATCAGTAGCTTGGTGACTTGTAGCCCAACCAACACAGCTTGCAAAACAGAAGAAAGGAAAAATGAAAAGGTAAATGATCACTTTGCAACATGGAAGAGTAGATAAGTTATGCTGTGCCTTAAAAGAATTAATTAATTGAATTAATTTGCTTACTAGATATGTAATAAATTTTCTCTTTCTGTCACAATCATCATTGCATTTTGATGTCAATTTCTGAAGGAAATTTGTAGACTGCATCAAAGGTTTTCAAAGGGGATATATATGTGTATGTATGTATGTATGTGTGTGTGTATGT